AAGCCCGGGCAGACAGGTACCTGGGAATTGGGTTGGTCTTGACTCTGACAGCAGCAGATCTTACAGACTTCATTCCCCAGAGGGCCCATACTTTTATCAAAGTTTTTAGATGTTTTCACGGGAGGGACTTAGAGCACTCAGTAAATCTCCTTTCTGCCAGCTGAGATCTAGGGCATGTGGCACCTTCACATCCCTTTCTCCATCCTCAGGGCACAGCATCTCAGCCAGATGCAGGCACAGGCCCAGATTCATCCTACTGAACTAGAGGCAGGAATCCGGGATGACTTCAAAGCACAGTCTCCCTCGGCTGCACCTGAATCAACAAAGCAGGACAGGCTCTCCCAAGGGAGGATTCAGGTCAGCCCAGACCTGATTACCCATCTAAATTTATCTGCCTCTCACCATCTGCGAGAGAAAGAGCCTGAAGTAATTGCTTCCACAACTTAGAGATCTCAGTTCAGAGCCTGTTGATGCACAGAATGAGTCTGACTCAGAAATTGTTGAAACTCTGACATTTCCTGGCAATGGATACAAATCTAACAGCAGAATTTCCTTCTTTTCCATGACACCCTGCAGTTCTCTTTCGGATCATCTCTCTGGACAAGGACTTCTACCCCCTGAACGAGAAGGTAGAGCCATGTTTCCTTCTTGTTAACCAGGGGGCATAATTCCCAATGAACAGCACTGCTCTCACCACCCAGAGCCACTGGGACAGCCTCTGGAGCATGATTCCTTCACGCCCACACCATCCTCGACCCACTCCACACCCTGTCCTGGCACAGCCTGTCTCTGCTGCCTGAGATGCAAACCCCTCTCTCCAAAGGGATGGCAGTGTTCAAAACCAGAGTGGCAAAGGGAATTTAGGCAGGGATCTTATTAGGAAAAGCCAGGGGGACAAATTTCCACTGAAAGTGACCCAGGCAGTTTTTTTCTGGCAGTGGGGGCAACCCAGGCAGAGAGAGCAGTGGGACAGAGACTTCATTTTAAGGAAGTGGTCAGGGGTGGAATCCACCTTTCAGTGTATTGGGCAATCAGCTCCTCATGCAGACAAGGCCTTTGCAATCTCTTACTGCATCACACTTTCATACTGTGGTAAGACAAAAAGTTGAGGCTCTAAAATATTACGGAAGATAATTAGTATCCATCTTAACCACTAAGAACTAAGGAAATAGAGCAAGTCCAGAAAAGGAAGAACCCAAAGGACTTCTTAGAAGGTTGTCCTTCTGCCCTTCAGTCTGGAAATGACTTCTACCCCTATGTGGCTGACTTGTCTAACGTTGATTTCCCTCTGTTCTCTCCCTGCAGTTCCCATTTGTCTATGTTCAGGTGAGTCGATGACTACGTGCCCATGATTCCAGCAGAATGTGCAGGCACAGAGCTGGCTGTCTCCAGCAGAGGGGTTTTCAGGCTCAGGTGCAAAGGGAAGCAGAAGGGTGCATGGCCCTTCTCCTCTGTGTGGTTCTTTGACTGGGCAATGTACTGTAGGAACGAGTTAATCAGGGTAAGCCATGCTGTGAAGAGAATTACACTTCCCTCTGGTCACACCAGAACAGCTCACTCCTCTTCCCAAGAAGAACTAAGATTCTCTGCCTGCCAAGTGTGGCTGAAACCACAGAACTGAGTTAAGCCAACCAGCAGAGCTGAAGAAGCAAAGCTGTATAAGCAGACACCCCTGTCCTCCCAAGCACACCCCTTCTATCTGCTGGTTCTTTTTTTAAATGGTTGAACTCCAGTGACAGACAGCAGTTAACAGGAAGGATGTTCCCATCAGCTATTCAAGTGTTCCCTTTTTCAGCTGAGGAATGAGAATTTACAGTTCTTACCTGGGACATCTTCTAGTGGAAAGCTGATGGGAAGGACCCAGCCATGGACCCTGAAGAGATGACAGCAGCAATTAGTGCTGCAATTAGTCTGCACACATCTTGAGCTGGTTTGCATGACTGTGAGTCCTGTGTAGTCAGTCCTGTCGTTGCCCATTACTGCCTGGGGCTGCTGGCTCCATCTGCATCCCCTCCACAGCTGGAGGTGTTGTCCCAACAGGCAGGCAGGAGGTGGGCCAGAGGCAGGCTGTGCTCCTCTCCTGTGTCTTCCCACCAGAGTGCTGTCCCTCTCTCTTCCCCTCAGCAGACTTCCAGGATAGATCTGCAGAGCTGGGCAGCCACTGATGGGCTGTGAATGGTCAGAGAAAGAGTAAAACAGTGTGTGGTGTGCTAGAGAGCATCTCAGAACCACCTCCTGCTGTCAAACAAGTCCCTTCCCTTTCAGGGACATGATTCCTGACTGACTACAGGAGTTGAATGAAAGGGGCAAGGAGAAATAAATCCTACCCACTGCCTTTAGAAATCCCATATGCCTTTGGCCAGTCACCTGGATAATTTAATAACTTTTCTGTGCGTCAGGACCATGAAAAGCTTCAATTTTCAATCCCTGGGGAGCCCATCCTGTGTCTGCAGCCTATGAGGCATGGTGTTTGTCCATGCTCTTTAAGGCAGCTTATCATAGAATCAGAATGTCTGGGCTGGAAGGGACCTCCAAAGGTCATCTAGTCAAACCCACTCACTATAAACAGGGACATCTCCAACTAGATCAAGCTGCTCAGAGCTTCATCCAGCCTGACCTTGGATGTCCCCAGGGATGGGGCCTCCACCACCTGACTTCACCTCCACCATCACCTCTCACTTCCTCAGTGTTCCTTCTCAGCCCAGCACTGCCCTGTGTTTGGCTTTGGCAGATGTCTGTGAGGCAGCCTTGTAGAGTGGGGAACTCCCCTGGCAGCAGACTCACACTTTTCTCCAGGGTTTTCCTCTTGGCCAGGTCAGATCCACCCCTGCAGTTTACCATATGCTGCCACAGAATTTGGGCTGGCCAAAAGGGAAGGGTGGCAGGAGTGAAGAAAGCTTAAAAGTCAGCAGTGCTAAGGAAATAAATGTTCATCAGCTCACACCCTTAATGTCACTAATTGATTGTAGTCAGCCACAAAGGCAGAGCTTAGTATGAGCCTATTTCTGAACTGTTAGCATCACTCACTGCATCTGTCAATTAAAGAATCAATCTGAGGGGAACCAAACACTGATTTTCAGGCCTTCCCTGTAAAGACATCATAGAGATGGCAAGAAGTTCACAAGCTGTAGACATTTTCTTGAATTCCTCTTCCAAGGAAGCCTGTTGGTGTCCCCCACGATGAGTGGTGAGCTCTCCAGCAGGGCTGAAGTGTGACGATGAGGAGGGTCAGAGCTGTGGGATGGACTTTACTGACTGTGCCTTCCTCCCTGGGGAAGCAGGGGCCTCTTCTGCCTCCACCCAGTGACCTCCAGCTGGGGGATGCCATCCCCAGCCCCTTTCCCTGAGCCCTGAGATACAACCTCAGTGAAGTCACCTCAGCCACAGACCTACCCAGAGTAAACAGACCTGTGGTGATAGCCCAGGGACATGCAAAGGGCAGGCAGGAAATGAAGGACTAGAAACATCAACCATCCTGCTGAGGAGCCTGGAGAGAGGATCTCCAGCTCTACAGCACCACTGTGCTGCTTCAGTGGCTTCCACAAAAAAATTTGGAGCTGAGCCTGATGAATTTGGAACACAGCCCATTGACAGTCAGGCCCTAATGGGTGGTGCTCAGCTGCAGTAGGGGTGAGATTTCAACTCCAGCATGGGGACCTGGGAGAGACACGAAGGGAGAGCCCTCAGCTGGGGGCACGTATGGGAAATATGCTTTCTTCTGTTCCTCTCTCCACTTCACACCCCACCACAAGCTCTGGACTTTTACACATGCACGTTTCTCAGACCCACAGGTCATCAGGTGCCTCATTCCACACAAGGTTAAGCACTGGTACTTAGTCTCTATCCCAAGCATGGAAAAAAAGACTTCTAGCAAGCTACAAAGTAAATAAAGGAGACTAAAAGCTCCCTCCTTCCTTCTTGTGCTCCAATCACTCCTGCTATCCATCTTGTCTTGTTACCTTGAGTCTTTCCACCTTCTGGCCCCAATCTTCACAAGCATGCAGGTGAAGCTGAGGGGGACACACCACAGGACCTCCAGGCTTAAAAAGCTTTCTTGCATGTCTGTTATGCAGAATTAACAGGTAAGTTAATTAACATCACTGGCTGTGTTTATGACAAAGTCAGGTGGGGCTTGGAGAAATGTGATCTAGTGGGAGGTGTCCCTGCCCATCATGGAGGGGTTGGAACCAGGTGATCTTTAAGGTCCCTTCCAACCCAACCCATTCTATGATTCTATAAGTGCTCACAGATCATGGAATAACTACAGCTGGGCATGTCCCAGCCAGGATAGACACACACTGGGCACCCCAGCTCTCTGTCCCTGGGAGCATCCTGTACTGTCTTTGACCTTGAGCTGTCCTCACCTGCAGGATCCTCAGAGGAACCGTGTGTACCAGTGGCAAGGGGTGGAGCTGGAGACTGGCTTTACACAGCTCTCCTTCCCCCTCACTTCAGACCCCATCCAAGGCTCCTACAAAATCGTCGTGCAGAAGAGCTTCTCCTCCCGCGTGGAGCACTCCTTCAGTGTGGAGGAGTATGGTAAGGAGAGGAGGAGGAGGGATGGGCTGCACTGGGCTCCTCACTGGGCACTCTCCATCTGGAACTTGCTGGGAATGGCATGGAGCAGGGAGGGGCTGCACACACAGGCAGGGGGGTGCAGAGGGGCTGACCCAGCAGTCGCTGAGTGCCAGGGGTGGTCCCTCACTCTATGGCCTCCCTGCAGCCTGCCTGAGGTTCTGTTTGCCCCTAGTGCTCTGGGGAGTGCAGCTCTGACAGGCTCCTTGTGCATGACCTGTGGTACAAATTCCACCTGACCTGGATCCAGCCACTTCTCAGCAAGTAGTACTAGGTGTGGAGTAAGAGGTGACAACATTTTGGTGATGCTGTTTTGCCTCTCATCATCTGCATCAGTTCTGTTTCTCCACTTGTAGTCCTCTCTCTTTCCTCTTCTGCCTTGTTTCTGCTAAAAGCTTAGAAAACAAGTTTGGTGGAAAACTTCAGTTTGAAGAAGACTCCACGAATGTTAGAAGCAGGTGTAAACAGTCTGGTAGGAGAGACTGAGTAAGGAGAATTGTGCTGCCCCAGGGAGCACTCTAACCCCCAGTCCTGTAGCAAAGCCTCTCAGGAGTTTGCAGCTGCACACTCTGGCTAGGCTGTGTGCAGTTAAAGAGGCTCCTTGCCCTGTGCTCCACACTGCCAGGCTCCACTCAGCTCTGCGTGGAGCCTGGATGACCCAGCACACTGCTCAGGACCTGCTGTCTCTGCAACAAGCAGGGTGCCACCCACAGAATGTTGTCACTGAAGCCCACGGGAGCTGCCTTGTTTGCTTCAAATTTGGCCCTGGTGGCTGGCATGAACATGGGGAATAATCTGAGCACAAGCCAGGTTACAGGCTTTGGTTTGCCATGGTGACACGTGGGCTGTGCCTCCCCCACACAGATCGTTCTGAACACACCCCTGGATGAAAGGTGGATGCCCCTGTCTCAGCCTCACACTGAACTTGCTTTTCTTTTATTTGTTCTTGAATCTTATTCCCACGAATGTCCCCTGTTGCTAATTCTCTTACAGCTTGTCAGGGAAATGTGCCCTGGGGCTGAGACATTGAGCTTTGCCTCCCATCCTAGAGGCAAATTAGTGTCTAAACTGTATAAGCCCAGGGTTGTTCCCCAGTTCCTGGGGCTGAGTGTGTAAACTCCCTGCTCTGATTTTCTTGTACTATGAAAAAAACCTCTAGAGCACTTCTTGGAAGCAGAGCATTGTGTCCCTCAGTCCAGTCCCAGGCCTGGGTAGCTGGGGAGGCAGGATTGCAGGATCCAGTATGGGAAAAGAGATGCAGCTTAACACTCAGAAGCAAAACAGACCTTTTACTTGACTTCTTTTTATCAGGCTTTACTGCTGCCTTGACTGCTTGAAAACACAGACCTGAGAATCTGGGGTTAGATCCACTAGAACCCTCTGGGCATGCAAGACAGTTTCCCATGCTATGTACTAGTGAGCCTACCAGCAATTTAGGAACTCCAGAACAATAAGAACCAGCCAGAAGAATCAATGATTTGGCTGTTCCAGTGTGAGAAATGACACCTTGTTCCAAGCCTTAGCTGCAAATTATGCTTTGTGAACCATGGAACACCTCCCAGGGGACCAGTGTGTCCTGAATAGGCACAAGTAAGGGATCCACAGAGCTGCCAGGGCAGTGGCACCACAGGAGCATGTGCTGCAGGGGAGGGAAGGGAAGTGCTGTAACCCTCCCTGACTCCTTTCAAACCCAAACACTGGTGAAGGCTGAGAAAATCGTGGGGAAGGGTGGCAGAGCTGTGCTGGAGACCACAGAGAGGTACCAAGATGCTCCTGCCTCTGTGTTGCTATGTAGTACCTGGTTCTCCTTCACTCTTTTCACCTCAGCCTTTCTCCCACCCAGTGCTGCCCAAGTTCGAGGTCCTGGTGAAGCTGCCCAAGATGATCACTATCAAGGACAAGGAGCTGCCAGTGTCTGTCTGCGGCCTGTGAGTCCCAGAGCTGGAGCAGAGCTCTGCTGCTCATCCTCCACTCCTCCTCTCTGCTGAGGACCTGAGGAGATGGGGAAGGCTTTTCACACTTCTCCCAGACATCTAGTGGAGTCTTGTTCCACCCTATCAGTCCTGAGCCTTCTGTTTGACCTGAACAGTCAAAGTGAAGGGTCTTCTGTCTGTTCCTTCAAAGGTGATGCCAACCCCATCTGCAGCTGTCTCCTCCCAGTTTTCTGTACTTTTTCATCAGTTAGAATTTCTCTGCTGCCCAATCCTGAACCCTCAAATGCACAGAGACACCAGCTCAGACATTATTTAAATAGCTGGTGCCAACCCAGTGTTGTAATTATTAACTGAGCTCTTTGTTGCCTTCCTGCTTCTCCCAGGAGCCCTCAGCAGCTTGCAGAACAAGAATACTCCTGGCTGACTTAATCTTTTACCATCTTTTTCTGCCTTCCTGCAGAGACTTCCAACCTAGAACAGACTCTAATGGATGACGGGAGATTCTCACAATTGCAATGATGGGAATGGAATCATTAGACTCACTAAAACATCAGATTAGTCAGTCTTCAGGAAGAAATATTAGGAAGTCATCAGCAGAGGTCTTTAAGGACGTCTGCCTGACTGACTGGTTGTCTCAGCATCTCCTCTGTTGTTTAACACTTTGGGGTTATAGGTACACCTATGGGAAACCTGTTCCTGGTGTGGTGAAGGTCCAAGTGTGCAGGAAATATTCCCATTCTGCCTCCAGCTGTTATGGGAAAGAAGCAGAAGCTGTGTGTGAAGAATTCACTAAGCAGGTGGGTCCCAGATTAAAATGTAGAAGTCTTTTTTCCTGGGGAAGGGGCAGTGTTGACTGAGGGAGGCCAAATCTGTGACTGTTGTGAGATGACAGGACATCAGAGGCTGCACTCTGTCTGGGGAAAAACAGACACGAGTCATTAAACTGGAAAGAGAACTGATGCAGAAAACCCCACAGCTGAAATCCTGGCCCCACTGAAACTAGTGATGTATCTCCAGTTGGTGTCTGTGAGGTCCCTGCTATTGATCCCCAAACTGAGAAAAGAATCCCTGAAAGAATTTTTAACTGTGGGACTGGCAGGGAGAAAGGAGCAAAGAAGATGAGAAGAAAACACGAAGGTGGTGTTGTATATGGGTCAAACACAGGGGAAAGGAGGAAAGACAACAAGGAAAAGAGTGAAGACAACAGAAGAAAGGAAAAAAAACCAGAACTAAGGTAGGAGGGAGTTGACAAGGAAACCAGTGCAAGCCTTGGAGAACTGAGTGTCAGTACCTCACAGAACACAGAAAAGTGTGGCTGAAACACTGGGAAACAAGCTGTGAACAAGTTCTGGTCTTGGAGACAACACTAAAGCATAAGGCTGGGATTTTGTCAACAGAACTTGAGCATTTTGGGGTTTGAATGTCTATTCCTGTCCCACAAGGCACCAAATTTGTTCACAGAATCCCAATTTTCTCTGTGATTCCCTGCTTAGGCAGATGCTCGTGGGTGTGCCTCTGGCACAGTGAGGACCAAGATGTTTCAGCTCCAGCGCAGGGGATACGAGATGGAGATTGAGGTACAAGGCAAGGTCACAGAAAATGGCACAGGTATGTCTCACGTGGAGGTGGAGAAGTGGTGGCAGGTCCCCAAAGGTGGAGTACCACATCTAGAGCTGCTGCTGTTCATTGAGAATCCCTTTTTACTGTGCTCTCTCTCTCAGGAACAGAGATGACTGGAACAGGCACCTGTGGAATCACATCCACCATGAGCAAAATCAGCTTTGAGCTGCTGGACTCTCAGTACAGACCAGGGATCCCACTCTTTGGGAGGGTAGGGAATTTCTGAGGCTCTGGACCATGAATGGCACAGCAAATTCCCAAGTGCCTAATCCCATCCAATGGAACACCAGAGTGTGCTGATGACATGGTCCATCAATGGTTGCTCTTGGTGGTTGGACTTGATCATCTTGGAGGTCTCGTCCAACCTAAAGGATTCTATGATTCTATCATCCTCTGCCTTGACCCACTGATAGCTGGGGCACTCAACAGCCACGTGGCCCTAACCTCCTGGCAGTCAGCCCAGCACAGACCAGAAGCCCCATTGCCCTGACACGTGAGAATAACCTCAGGGAGCAGCAAGGATGGGCTGTTCCACAGAGGAACACCACCCAGGGGCAAAGGGTGGCCCCAGCACAGTGGGCATAGTGATCTCCTCAGCAAGGGCACAGTCCCACCAGTACCCAACCAGGCTGAGCACAGCAGGGGTGGCGACAGCAACGGGTTCCACCAACAGTCCAGTGACCACCAGATAATGTGAGCTGGTGAGTCAGGGCTGAGCTCAGCCAAGGAAGGCCAGTTAAGCAGCAAGAGAAAGAGCTGGGTGTAGCTCTAGCTCCAGTGTGGCTTGTGATCATCAACTGGGGCAAGGCACAAGCCTGAACTTGGAGTTCCTGAGCCAAGAGGCAGATGACACGTGGTGGAGATCCCCAATGAGGCTGGCCAGGGATATTAAAACCTATTAAGGAACTTAGGCCCCTGACATCATTTCCCTGAACAGAAAGATTGTTTTGCTGAATTTTTTCTCAGCAAACTCAGTTGCCTCAGACAACTGAGGACCCACCTCACACGTTTCCACATTCATGTCTGGTGTTCTTCTGCATAAAGAAACATCTGACCTGTAGAGGAGGAAAAGGAGGAAAAGGAGGAAAAGGAGAAAAAGGAGGAAAAGAAGGAAGAGGCTTTAGGACCTGAGAATTGTTTTCTGTTCCTAGTCTGAAGCCTGAAGGTTTTTTTCCCTCTGCTAGGTGAAGCTGGTGGATGGCACTGATGCTCCCATCGCCAATGAAACCATCACGATCTCTGTGGATGGAGACAGGTACAAAGGGAACTACACGACAGACGAGCAGGGGCAGTGCTGGTTCTCCATAGACACTGCTGCCTTCACACAGGCCTCCCTGGAGATCCGAGTGAGTGGCACAGGCTCTTCACCTCTGTTTGAAAATGGGAAATACAGAACATTACCCAGAGGGGTTTTTTTTTTTGTGAAAATTCCTGTGGCTTGTTTTTTGTCTGCTATACACTTTTTATTCTTCTTCCCCAGGCTGAGCACAGCCCTGACCTGAACTGCTACGACAGCGAGTGGGTGACACCTTCCCACGAGCACGCCCTGCGCAGAATAACCCGCTTCTACTCCCCCAGCAAAAGCTTCCTCAAAATCCAGCCAAAGCCCGAGACACTGAGCTGTGGCTCCCCCACAGAGATCCAGGTGCACTATATCTTCACACCAGAAGCCATAGGAGAGCAGAAGAAAATTGTCATTTACTATTTGGTGAGTTGTTGGTGCTCACTTTGATTGACCCAAGGCTACAGAGAGCATTGGAGCACATAAAATGTGGGTTTGGGTCTGCTCACCATTTGCTGTGCTCTTCATGCTCACACTCTACAGTTTGCCCAATGAATTCATTCATTCTCTTTCCCATCAACACCAGCAGCAATCATTACAGGAAAGTTTCTCTGTCTCCCAGGTGATGGCCAAGGGAAGCATTGTCCTAGCAGACACCCATCATCTGACAGTGAACCCTGGAGATGGTGAGCAGAAATATGCATTTTTTAGCTTCTCTGAAGATTATTTGAGGATAAGGGGGACACAGAGAAATGATTTCAATTCAAATATTTAATGTTAGAATTAGAATGCAGTTTCAAAATGAAATCTTTTCCAATTGAATGGTCTGGGTTTTCTCTGAATTCGGTCAGGTGCTATTTTTTTGATGAGAAAACATTTGAAAACTCAACCCAAAAAAAAGTGTATAAAGTTTTGATCCTTGTTTCCTCAAACCAACACTTTATTCTGACCACTCTACCCTCCTCAGATTGTGGATGGTGACCAGTGTTGTGGGACTCACTGGCAGGGTGAGCAGGCAGAAGAGCCCATCCCCTTTCTCACTCTCACTTTCCTTTGGGTTTCTTTTCAGATTTTTTTTTTTCACTTTCTCCCTTATAAATATGCAAACACACAATCTATATTCTATATACCTGTATTTGGTGTTCCAGCTAAATGCTTGCTTAGCACTATCTCCACCAAGTTACTCTTTCAGCCCCTCTGCACCCTCACCCACGGCCACCCCTTATACCTGCCCCTCATTTCCATGCTTTTCCATCTACTTTTTCTAGACTGCAGAAGATCTTGAAGCCTGAGGGGGAAAAAAAAAAAGGCATTGGGAACATCAAGACATTATGGCTGGTGTGAAGTGGGGAGAATCCAGGTGGGACTTCCCAGCATTTTTGCTCTCTTTCAGGCCGTGGGACGTTCCAGCTGGTGGTGCCCGTGGCGGCAGCGGTGGCTCCCCTGGCACGGGTGCTGGTGTACAGCACCTCCCCTGCTGGGGAGGTCATTGCCAGCTCAGCTGATCTCCAGGTTGAAAGCTGCCTCCCCAATCCCGTGAGTACAAGCTGGGGGTGTGCACGAGCCACGTTCTCCTCCTGGCCAGGAGTACAGCTCTGAGCTCCAGATGGAGACAGAGTTCATGGAATGGTCTGGGCAGAGGTTGGTCAAGGATTAGTGACTGACACTCCAGCACGAGCTACAAAGCCATAACTACAAAGAGTGGAGGAAGACAATAAGAGAATCACCAGTCATTATACCCCCTCCAGCCCAGACAGTCCATATTCTATTCTATATTCTATATTCTATGAATTACATTGGTCAAAGCTCAGGGTACATTAGAACTGCAGGGCACCAGCAGAGTTCTGGTCCCTATATAACAGCATCTGGAAAAGTGGCTGCTTTCATCTCCTCTTGGGGTTGCAGGTCAGGTTGAACTTTGCACCCCAGGAAGGGCTCCCTGGCTCCAAGGCACGTCTGGAGCTCCACACCTCCCCAAAATCCCTCTGTGCCCTGCGTGCTGTGGACAAGAGCGTTCTCCTGATGAAACCTGAAGATGAGCTCTCTCCTAGCTCTGTAAGTCTTGGCTGTGTCTGCTGATGAGGAGGTACCTGAGCCAGCCAAGTGCCTGTTAACACCCCTGCAGCCATGGGGCGTGTGCTTTTAGTGGTTGTGTTATTGCACTGGTGTTTTAGAGGCTGGATTTTGCCAGTGGGGTGCTAGGCAGTGTTTGTGCCCCTCTCAGTGCTGACCTACCACATTTTCCCAGGTATATGATCTTCTCCCACTGAAGGAAATCCGGGGTTACAGCTTCAAGGATTACTACCTGGAAGAGGACAATGTAAACCCTTGTGTGTCACTTGATGACATACTTTTAAATGGATTTGTCTACGTACCCATTTCTCCTGATGGGGAAGGTGATGCCTATGACATTCTCAAAGTAAGCACCAGCCTTTTGCTTTTCTTCATTATTCCTTTTTGGGATTCAGCCTCCTCACCTGTCCTGAGGGGCTTTTAAATGCACTTTGCTGTGAGCTTGCAAACTCTTGTATGTAAGGCAACAACTAGGTGAGGCTCTGCATCCTTGTAGCCCATCGTTGGTACCCGAGTGCTTCTCTGAACCCCTGAAGCTCTGACAGGTCCCCTCATTGCCAGTAGAGACATCCATGAGTGGCATAAAGTAAGGAAACAGTCCTGAGAAGTGAACTCTGGTGTCATAGTACTAGAAACTCTTCCTCAGCCATGCATGTTCTCTCTCTACCTGCTGTAGACAGGTCTTTAATGAAAGTGCCAGTTGCTTTGACAATGCACAAACCCACCTATAAAGAGTTCTACACAAGACTTTTTGGGTGCTCTCAATCATTAGCTTTCCATCTGATCATGCCAGGATATCCCCTGAGGATGAGTGTAACATGATAAAGCCCCAACATCTGGGTTGAACTGGTCTAACTGGCATTTCCACAAAGCCTTGGCTGTTCTGATCCATACCAGACTAAGGGACAGCTGTTCTTGACATACTAAAAAAAGGTTTCTTTTCAAAACTGTGTTTGCATACTTTTTGTTCTTCTTTTTCTGTGTTTACCAGGACCTGGGCTTAAAAGTCTTCACTAGCAACAAGATCCACAAGCCTGAAATCTGCCAGCAGTACCCAGGACACATGATGGAAAGGAGTTACAGTGGTTGTAGGACCTGCTTCGTTTTACTTCCCACACAACTGCCTGAGATTTACCACCCTCCTTCTTTCCTTCCCTCTGCTTCCTTGACTATTAACTACCCCAGGCAGATCAGAGTGTTCAGATGTGCTGACCTAACCCAGAATCAGCCTCTCCTGGACTCAGTCCTGAAATATGAAAATGAAGCCCAGCTAGACAGAAGTGCCTGGCTAGAACTGTGTGCCCAGTGGCCCCCTTGCCAGCCCCTCCAGCAGGGATCCTGTGGGCACTAACACAGTCTCCCAGCACAAAGGAGTGGGGGTTTTTTGTCATCAGATCTGAGTCCAGCTACAGAAACCTAAAAAAAAAGAGTCTCTCCTTCTAGGGAGTCACATTCTAGCAGCAGCTAGAGGAACAACTAGGGCAAAGTTCTGAGATTAGAAAGGCTCAATAGAACACACTCATCTAGAACACGTCCAGTCACTGACTTTTCTGGTGCAGTATCTCAGCTCCTATTAAAAAACTACAGGTTTTGCTCTGGTGATAGCTTCTAGTTTTCCCTTTATAACAGATCAGAGCTCTGGTCTGGAAAGGCAGGACTTGTGTTCAGAGCACAGCCTGAGACAGCTGGCTGCTTTAACAGCATGGAAACTCTCCTAAGGCTGATGGAAAGTCTTTCATAAGGCAAAACACTGTGTGAAAGTGTGAGAAAGCTTCTCTCTGTTCTGGAGCTGTTGATTTGATAATGGCCAGGGAAGTAAAGCCCCACACTCACCTCCAAAGAGTCTTAGATGGAGGAAGAGTATCACCACTACCTGGAAGGAAAGTCTCCCTCTGGTTTAGAACAGACTCTGACACATCTCTTCCTTTCTTCTCGTCCTTGAACAAATTTGCTAGTCACTACACTGAATCTGCTTGAAGATTTTGATGCTGAAATAATGGAACATATGGTTGGTGGCAACCCTGTGGAGACCATCCGGAAGTACTTCCCTGAGACCTGGCTCTGGGACATCATTCCAGTGAAGTAAGTGTAGGTAGGAATGTATCAGAGCATCACAGTCATAGAATACCAGGGGGAAGGGACCTCAGGGATCATCTGGTCCAACCTTTCATGGCAAAAACCTGGTGTAGACAAGATTGCTCAGCACCCTGTCCAGCTGGACCTTAGGAGTGTCCAACACTGGGGACTCCACCACTTCCCTGGGGACACTGTTCCAATGGCTGATTGTTCTCATGGTGAAAAATTTTCCTCTTGTGTCCAACCAGATTCTCCCCAGGAGTAACTTGGACCCACGACCCCTCCCTTTTCCATGTGACTCTTTGTAAAAAGGGAGTCTGCATCTTCTCCATAGTCACCCTTCACATACCAGGACATGGTGACAGTATTTCCCCCAAGGATAAAGGGGGAATAAACCCAATTGTTTCAAGGTTGAATAGACCCAACTGTTCCAGCCTTTCCTCAGATGGAAGGCTTCCTACTTCTTCAGTCACCTTTGTGACCGTTCTCTGGGCTCTCTCCAGCCTGTGCACACCTGGAGTGTGTCCACCTGTGGAGTGTGGTTACTGGGGCAGAACCTCAGAAGACATTTAAACCTCACTGGAAGTGCCAGTGGCTCAGTGAGAGGGGTGTTCCTAGCACACAGAGGGGTTTGCCAAGGTCAATGAATGCAGGATGCTTTGGGAGGACGTGCAAAAGTCAGTGTCCATCTGCAGCTGCTGAGGAGTCTGCTGTCAGCTGGTGCTGTAGGCTGAGAAAACCACAGATACCACCAGAGCAGACCTGAAACCTTGTTCTCTGTCCCTCCCCAGCTCT